TTTTATATTGACCATATAGATAGTGACCTGTATGCCTTATACAAGTCGGCAGTTCTATCTTTGAATGATCAACTGACATAAATAAACAAACAATGTCATACAGGTAACATTGGGAACACGAAACCTTATAGTGTCAGACTAAACGTTTTTGTTGTTTTTTATGTTGAAGAGTAAGTACTCAGTTATTAGTATTATTACATCTCACTAAATTTTATAAATAAAAACATAAAAGTTTTTAAGAGCAATTATCAAATACCTTTACCAGCACCTGTAACAAGGGCACTCCTACCTGTGAAGTTGAGGTTCATTTCTTTTTAAAGACGTGATCAGCTAAACTATTTAAAATAACACATTAAAACAAACCTAGACATACAGGTAATACAGTAAAGCCCGCGTTCATGTGAGGCAGATGCGGTTACAACACGCAATCTATTTTTATACTGGAGAAGATATATGAACATTTCATAAATTTAAATGCTTTTTACTAGAAACGGTCTCAATCCTTTGGGATAAAATTGTCATGTTACTTTTGTTGACATTTTCCATTCATTTTGGCGATATCGGTTCTTTGTTTTAGGTATAAACACCTTTTCGGTTAATGTTATACTGACAGTCTCGTCAATGGGATTTGATGAAGAGATTATCAAACTGGTCGTTAATCAATACTTTTCAGATTATGGTAGGGAATACAATTGTTACAATTTTAAGACAATTAATAATCACGATATGAAATCGTTACTGAAATAGTCTAATAGTGAATGGAAAACTTGTGTAAACATGAAGAAGAAATAGAGTAAGATTGGATAGGTGAAATTTGTCAGCATATGGCAGAACACAAGGGCTTAATATATTCAAAATGTTTTGGACGACAGCGACAATTCCAAACCGATTATATTTCTGTTAATCATCGGGTTATTGGCCATATGGAATAGGTTATGTTTGTGCACCATCGGGATGAAATTGGCAACATGTGCAAGAAGTAAAAAAAAATTTTGAATTGTTGATTGCAGTATTTACTCCCTATTCGTTCTAGTAGATCGTTCATTTTAAAAAGTAAATAACAAAAAAAACATCAATTGTTATTGTCTTTGGACTAGTCCATCCCCCCCCCCCCAAAAAAAAAAAAAAACAAAAAAAAAACACCCAACAATAGATGTTTTAAAGACGATATTTGTGCATCTTCAACATTAGCCATTTTCTAAAATTCGCTTTAAAAATGTCGGTTGACTTACAATTTTGGCTTTGTCTTGCTTAATATATTGCTGTTTACAATTATCAGCCTCTTCGGCTTTGTCTTGCTTATTATATTCCTGTTTACAATTATCACCCTCTTCTTAAGTGTTTACCACGAACATAAAAAAGGGATTAATTTTTCATTAAATGGCAGTAACCACTGTATGAAGTCAACTGAAAAAAAATCAGTCAGAATTGGGACGTTAACCCGATACCTCGTGTACAGAGAGTGCCATGCTCTCTTCCCGTTTAGAACCCTTCCAAAAACTCTTCGAGGGGTCCGTAGGTGGACTGTTGCAAGGCAACATTTCTGTCCCTAATCCATTATGCCATTATCCCTCATTTTCTTGTAGCATTCTAATTTTTCCTCTACCATTATTCCGGACGGCCTCTATTCTATGATTTATTTATTGTTAATTCGTTTTCGTTCTGAACATGCGGTTTTTTTTTTAATTATTGGAGTTTAAAAATTGAAAAAAGATATGTTTATGGTTCCTTTACTTATAAACTGTTCCTACTCCATGTTTGTTGTATTTATAAACTCACGGTCTGGTAAATGACTGTCACGAAGTGTGCAAATATTGCAACCACGATATATGTGACATAATACCAAAGAGAGTTACTGAAATCCTGTTGTTGACTCCTTTTTTCAAACACTCGTGAAATAAGAGAGGGACGAAAGATACCAGAGGGACAGTCAAACTCATAGATCGAAAACAAACTGACAACGCCATGGCCGAAAATAAAAAGACAAACAGACAAATAATAGTACAGATGACTCAACATAGAAAACCAAAGACTGAGCAACACAAACCACACCAAAAACTGGGGGTGATCTCAGGTGCTCCGGAAGGGTAAGCAGATCCTGCTCCACATGTGGCACCCGTCGTGTTGATTATGTTATTACAAATCCGGTAAAGAGTCAAATTCGGTAAGTCACATTCGTGAAAAGGGAGGGTATTGTAGTTACGACATAAGGAACATATCCGATATCATCTGTGAGACGGTTATTCCATAACGGTCAACCAACTCGTGATGGCGTCCGTAAAATTTACGAAGGGATGACTTCAACTACACCATTTGGAACTCTTGGTTTAATAGCTTCCTTGTGAGCAGCATTCCTCTGTCAAGGAAATCATGATAGGAAACACAAGCCCGGGAATATCGTATCAATTGGGAGATATATACTCCGTATGCAGGCGCTGCTGGAATGTGGCTACATAGAAATGGAAAGTTCACAATTGGGAAGTTGAAATCATCTCTTCTGTCGTAAAGTTTTGTTTTCAACCGACCCTCATTGTCAATTTCTAGATGTAAGTCATGCAGACTTAACTGTATCTGTAGTATCCTTTATCTCTATTTCGATGGGATAGATTCGTTCAACATAGTCACCAAATTTTGTATTATTTAGTGAGAGAACATCATATATATAGCGGAACGTAGAGTTAAAGGATATTGCTAACTTCTTATCTTTCTTCCTAAGAAGTTCCTGTATGAAGTCAGCCTCATAATAATAAAGAAACAAGTCGGCAAAAAGAGGGGCACAATTGGTTCCCATTGGAATTCCGACAGTCTGTTGAAAAACACGTCCTCCAAACGTAACAAATATGTTGTCAATCTAGAAATCAAGCATCTTGATAATGTCAGTTTCAGAGAATTTTTTGTTTGAATCAGAGTGATTATTTACAAAGTAGGATTTATCCCTCCCCAAGACAAGATACTTGTATCTACGTTCGCCATTCTTTTTAATGAAACAAAGTAATACCAACTCTTTCAGTTTGTCTTTTAGTTTGGAATTGGGAATACTTGTGTAAAGTGTAGAAAAGTCAAATGTTTTAATACTATTGCAAGATGATAGAGTCTTAGACTGTATGTACTCTAAAAGATCTTTGGAATTTTGTAGTATCCACATCTGATTCACGCCACCTCTAGAATAGGCAGTTTCACAATAACTTTGGAGCCTAGCTTTGATTGCTGATAAAATAGATGTTAATAATTTAGAAAGAGGTTTCGTGGAGCAATTGGAAGACCCAGCAATAAACCGTTGTTTGTAAGAACACTTATGTAGTTTAGGTATCCAATACAGTGATGGAAGATCCAGTTCTTCATCTTTGGTTGAAATTCCAAAGGAACATAGAGCAGACCTATGATTATCCAGGATTTCCTCTTTGGTAAGTGTCGTGAGGGTATATGTTGAGTTTCCAAGTGAATTGTCAATACCTAATTCATTTATCAAGCAGTGTATGTAATGATATTTACACACAAAAAAACGATGTTGTTTGGGGTTTTATCTGCGGGGACAACAATATATTTGTCATGGAGGTAGGACAAGTTTTTTGCAACAAGAAGTCAGCATAAATCAACTATCAATAGATCACTGAATGTTACGAAAATTGAACAAGTAATACTATGAATCAGAGCAGAGAACACATAAATGTTGATATCTACAGAAGTTTGTAACTGAATTTAGTTAGAGAGAAGGCAGACAAAGATATGTCAATAAGTACATATTCTGCTTTGTTAAATGTTTTTCTATTTGTATCCATCTGATGAGTGAAGCCATATTCAACTGGTTTTTGTAGTTTTTTCTTATGTTGTACTGTCACACCACTGTCCAGATTAGAGGTGGGTTGGGCGTTCACAAACATGGTTAACCATGCCACATTCTATATGTGCCTGTCTCAAGTCAGGAGCCTGTAGTTCAGTGGTTTTCTTTGGTTCATGTTTGTCATATTTGTTTTTTGTAAACTGTTTTGTTATAAATTAGGCCGTTAGTTTTCTCAATTGAATTGTTTCATATTTTCATGTCGGGGCCTTTTATAAGTGACCATACGGTATGGGGTTTTCTCATTGCTGGCTACCTATAATTGCTTACATCAACTTCATTTGAAGTTAAGTGGATATATGTCTCATTGGCAATTATACCACATATCCTTATTTTTATAATGTTATTGTTAATTAAAAAAAAATTTACGACTAGCCGTATTATTGTATAATATAATATTTAATTTGAATCAGCAGATTACTTCCGTAGGTCAAAGTGGAGTGTAACAGGGTTAATCAAGAGCAGATTGGACTCTTGATTAGTTTTGAAACAAGCCAGATTTGATAAATGAATATGATACTAGGCTTAGAATTAAGTACGATCGACGCGCATTTCGTCTACGTAAGATTCATTAGTGGCGCTCAAATCAAATAAATCAGGAAGAAACCAATCTCAAGCCTTAAAATCAAAACCCAAAAATAGGTTGTTTTAATCAGGCTAATACCATCTATGCCTGATGGTGTGAAAAAAAAACCCGTTAGTGTTTCGAATGATTAACGAGACTTTCACCTCGGTAGTAAGTTAAGTAACAAAAATACCGAATTCCGAGGAAAATTCAAAACGGAAAGTCCCTAATCAAATGGCAAAATCAAAAGCTCAAACATATCAAACGAATGAAAAACAACTGTCATATTCCTGACTTGGTACAGGTATTTTCAGATGAAGAAAATGGTGGATTGAACCTGGTTTTATAGCTAGCTACACCTCTCACTTGTATAACTATAATTTAGTAGCTTATGAACAGTAAATTAATAGTGTTTGAGCCGTACACAAAAAGAAGTAGATTCCTTCAGAGATATTTCATATGTTTATATTTTCGGAGTTTTTGATATTAACATACCATAATAGCCATGTTATCTGTAAACTTACTGTTTGTGGGATACCAATTTTTGTAGATTTAGTTGGTCAAGGTCAATCAAATTTTAATGCTCAACGAAGTACACATTTTGTTTATGCTTTAATGAAGGTTTTGCCTAAACTAAGAAATAATAGAATATACCGACGAAAAACAATTTTTCTTCCACCCCTAAAATTGGTATCTGCGAAAATAAATGAATCCACATTACTAGAATATTGCTACTCTTCTCGTCCCTATCGTGTTAAGGGATTGTTATGAATAGTGTAACACTGCATGGAAATAGTTCAACAAGTACGACAAATAAGAAAATATCACGGAATAACTTAAAAGTCCGTAACACCTGTAAAAAGCAAAATAAAAAAAATACCGTACTTCAAGGATTTCAAATCGGAAAGTCTCTTTTCAAATGGCAAAATAAAAAGCTCAGAAAATCAAACGAATGGAAAATAACTGTCATATTCCTGATTTAGTACATGCATTTCCGTATGAAGAAAATGGTGGATTAAATCTGGTTTTATAGCTAGCTAAACCTCTCAATGGTATGCCAGTCGCATAAAATTCTATAATAATGACAACAATGTGTGAACAAAACAAACAGACATAATAGGTATAAATGTCAAAAATACGGGTACTGCAGTCAACATTGTGTTATATCTTAATCACTATAAAACAAACAAATATGTCAAAAAAAGAAAAACAACATGGCAGCACATAAGCAATAAATGAAATACAAGAATACAAAAAATGAACATAGCACAATAACACAATGTCGGGATATATAAGAACCGAGACACGCCAAAATGATGTAACCAAAAAGGGACTTTTAAAGGAACAGTAAAGGGTAATAATTTACAAAGACAAATAAAAGAACACTAAACATGTAATTAAGATGATAAGCAACGTCACTACCTTATCATCATCAATATATCTGAATGTGAAATCAAATGATCTGGGTTTTTTTTATCTTCTGTTTTTGACAGGTGTCTGAAGGAACTCCGACTCATTTGAAAATAAGAAGAGGTCGGCAGAGACAGGCGCACAGTTTGTTCCCTTAGAAATGCCAACAATAAGTAACGACTTTTCTTTTTTATTTTCTAATGGACAGGGTTAGGTGACATATGAATAATGTGTCCACCGTCCACGGGCACCAAGGCACCATTTATCATAGATGCATAGTCACTGAGCAGGAATGCCACTGTATTAGCAACTTCATCTTGTTCTGAAAAAAAAAAGATGTTCAAAGTTATAAAGGAGGTATTTGAATCCATGAATTTTTCCCCTGAAAATTGAATGGATAGAAGAATTCTCCAGTTTGTTTAAATTTACGCTATTTTGATCCAAAAACATACAACGAAATTGCCATAATTCTCCATATATCATGTATATGGTAGTTTTTCATTAGAATTTTTGTCAAAGTAAATATCAGCCAATGCTATACCTGAAATAAAGACATTTAACTCGCATTCACATCCATGTATAAGATATGTGCCATTTTGTACCATATGGACTTATTGTATGTACCATTTAGTACCATCCAAACTAAGTACATTTTTATTTTTTAACTTCACTTTCCGCTATATAGATGATGTTCTCTCACTAAATTATTTAAAATTTGGTGACTTATGTTGAATGCATCTATCCCATCTAACTTGAGATACAATAAATTCAGCTAAGTCTGTCTCATATCTTGACTTTCATGTAGAAATTGACAACGTGGGTCGGTTAAAACAAAACTTTACGATAACAGAGATGATTTCAGCTTTTTATTGTGAACTTCCCGTTTCTATGTAGAAACATTCCAGAAGCGCCTGCATACGGAGTATATATCTCAAGAGTTGATACCATATTCCAGGGCTTGTATTTTCTATCATGATGTCCTTGATAGAGGGTTGCTACTCACATGGAAGCTACAAAACCAAGCGTTCCACGTGTTGACGTTGAAATCCCTTCGTAAAGTTTACAGACGACATCACGAGTTGATCGACACGAGTCGAAATTTCAGCGACCTTATCCCGGACGATCTGAATTAAAAGACCTACATATTGTATTTATTGTTATTTTGTCCTCGACCTGAACATGCATGAAATATTTGCCACTGGACTTTAACCAACCAGCAATCAATCAATCCCTGGAACTAAAGATAAAGCATTCTACCAGCAGAAGAAAGTCTGCTTTATATTTTGATGTTGACTTCGATGTTGACACAGATGGACGACTTTAACCTACAATGCATGACAAACTTGATGATTTCAGTTTTCCAGTTGTCAAGGTCCCATTTCTTAGCATTTCCTGCGCAAATCTATGCCGTTTAAATATTTCAATGTATACGTTTCACTCGAACATGTTTCACAATATACGAACTTCTTTCGTTATTTGAAAGATATGTATACTTTATGATTTTCGAATGCAAAAACCATAACAGTGGCCTTGCCATACCTTTTTTTTCTTGAATTACAAGTATACTTAATGTCAATTTTACGCTCCTCATTTATAGTAATATAAAGTATAGTGGTGTTTTGAAAGATGTAACATGTTATTTTTACTGATATATATTTCAAATTTGCAAAACATATTGTTCTCATTGTTTGCTTTTCATTCAGGGTAAACCCTTTGTAACATACCCAACACCAGATCTATAATACCAATTTATGTCCTTGTTATATCATATAAAAAAGAAGATGTGGTATGATTGCCAATAAGACAACTCTCCACAAGGGACCAAACGACACAAAAATTAAAAACTATAGGTCACCATTTCTTTATATTTTCAGAGGAGCATATAAAGTATTCCACATCTCTCCTTCACGATAAAAAATCTAATTTAATAACATGAAGTACCCAAAGTCGCGTACTTCATTAATACAAATAAAAAAAATGATACATTGAACAAAATCTTTTTTTTTTGTGCTATCTTACATTTGATATCTTTATAATGCCAAATTTTCATGAAAAATTATTTGGCTATATCTGGTAAAACCTTTTGGAATTTGGGTCATCAATTCTCGTCAACTTCGTACTTTATTAGGTTTTTAAAATTTTTAAATTCGATCGTCACTGACGGAACGCTCGTCTGGAGTATAAAATTTTAATCTTAGTATCTATGAAGAGTTTTATCACTGCAAATTTCAACAGAATATATAGAGCTGTGGCATTCATTAAACTACCTATGAAACGTCCCATCGGTATTCTTCCTGTAAAAGCATCTCTTTTTTCCTGAGAGACCAAAACCTTCTCAGTCAGGGGTGTTAATACCCCACCTGGATTACAGCTGTTTACACGAATCTGGTGATATAAAAATTACGTGGAAAATCAAAGCTTCGACAGAAAAAAAGTTAATTCATTATCATTCAAGCTACAATGTATGTCTGGGAGTAAAATATTTTAAACAAGAAAAAGCTATTTGCTAAACATTAACCGATATTTATTCAAAGCTTCATGAACACTTAAGTCAATAATAAAGATAGTTGGCCTCACAACTGCTTTGATTCCAGTTGTTCTAATAAAGGCGTGTTCTGAATTAAAAGTCTGGTATCTTTGAAGAGTTTATTTCATACAAAGCTGCATATTAAAACTAGGTATGCGATGAACATTTATTTTTGTTTTTAACTTAACAAGCAACCAAGTGCAGCAATTGACAAATATGTTGGAACCTTTATTGAAATTCAACACTGAATGCAACGTACGATAAATATAAATGAAAAATCAATGCAATAATTTATTATTAAGGTGTTTATATACACTAGTAGCCTTTACTATTTGTACCTGAATTACTGATTGTCAATATAAAATAATCAACATGTTTATAGCTTACAAATGGAAGAAGCTCAGGAATCACCTATAAACTATAGTTAACCTTTAAAGGTCCAAACTCTAATGCCATTGACTTTGTAAGCATATCCATAGCTGCCTTCGTGGTGCAATAAATAGAAAAACCAGCCGCTGCTAGCATACCGGAAATACTTGAAATATTCACAATGGCGCCACTTCCTTTCCGTGAAATAATTCCTTTTGCAACGATCTGTAATGACGCAAGTATTTCAACATGCATAGTGCATATTTAAACAAATTGTCCTAATAGCTTGAATGCTTAATGACGAAGCGTTCATGGTTGAAAATTGAAAAAAAAAAAATATCAACAGTTCTTTAACATATTTAGAATACGATTAAATGCATTCACTGTACCTAATTGGAGAATGATTAAAATGCAATTGATTTTTCATAATAAATTAACAGCTTTCATAGTTAAACTTAAGGCGTTCAAGATATGAAAATCTCAAACTGCAAATGATACAAAGATAATAAGATGTGGTATGATTGACAATTAGATAGCAATTTACCAGAGACAAAATGACGAAGACGTCAGCAAATATAGGTCACCGTACGACCGTCAACAATGGGCAAAACCCATGGCACATTGCAGGTTTTAAAAGGCCCGACAAAACAAAAGTAAAATAATTCGAACGAGACAACTAACGGTATTTACAAAACAATAAACAAAAAAACAAATAAGATATACAGCAACAATCGACAACCACTGAATAACAGGTCCCTGACTTGAAGCAGGTACGTACAGAATATGGCTGGGTTAAACATGTTTAGGTGCGCCGAGCTCTTCACCTAACCTGGGACAGTGGTCCAACAATACAACATAAGAAAGAAGAGTACATTTCCAAGTGTATAGTGTTTAAGCGAGTTAAATTTATTCATTTTATACCTGAGATATGTTCAAAGCTGCCTTAAAATTTATGTCAAAGTGTCTACAATAAAAATAAAGCATGTTAAAATATTACACCTTATATGTACAATGTGCTATTTTATGATAGTTTATAAGGCAATAATTGTAATATGTATGACTACATTTTACAATATATAACTCTATTAGCTGCAACCCGTTAAAATAATTTCAACTGTAAATAGGAAAGGGAAAAGATCTGTTGATGAATGGGTCTAGTTTTGTCCTCTACTCTTACCTCCTCCCGGCCGACAAAATGTTTGGTTACTAGTTGATAAAATACAATAAAAAAAAAATACAATAACTAGGTCTTAGAAGAGTCCGTTCAAGATGAAGAGTTGGGATATATGAACTGGCATTGAGAAATGAGGGTATATTGGATAGGGACAGGAAATTTGCCTTGCAACATGCAATCGATGGACCCCTCAGACAGATACTTGTTACAAGAGCATGGCACTCTCTCTTCACGTGGCATCGGACTTATACATCCCGCACAGCCAAACAGACGCCACACGTTAGCATGGGTTTTACTACCTGTCGAAAGAAGATCAAAGTGACCATATTTATATTCCCAAGTTCAGAATAACGTTAATGATAATAGTAAAAAACGTACACGGGTTTACCATCATTTAGAGCCAAATCATTCTATATAAAATCGATTGACGTTAACATATTTAGAAATCTCATTTTGCTAATCATTTCTGGTTTTCACTTAAAAAATAGTTTCACAAAAGTTGAAAGACATCGTCATTAACAGACAGAAACTTATACAAGGAGCTCAATGACAATTTTGGACATAACGCTTATTTTTAGGTCAGTTATGGTGATCGTTTTTGCTGTACATCCCACTCAATATTATTTTGCTTTACAAGTCTTTCAATATATGTAGGACTCGGAGGTGCGATGGAGATGCTGAAGTGCGATGGTTACAAATTTTAGTCCAATCAACGCAATTAGTAATGCATTTAAAGAAAAATAGCATGTGTATGTAGCGTCAATTTCTCGCAACGATTGTAAAAAACGACTGCTTTTTTTTTGGTCTTAGTTATTTACAAAGAATAATATACACTATAACGTTACAATAAGCACTGGGAATTCAATGACTTTTAAATCAAACGGGTTAAGCTGTTGATGTTTTACATGAAAAAAGGCCGAATAGATACTTCTAACAAACGAATTGATTTCTACATCTACAAGAAAAACATTTCAAATATGATTTGTGTAATCCATCGCACTTTTGCGTAACCACCATCGCATTTTAGCATAGCTTTCAACAAGATAGCATCACAATGCCACAATCGCTCTTCGATGTGACCAAAAATGCATTTCAGCGTCAAACCATCGCACATCAGCGTGATCATTGCGTTTCGGAGTAACATCGTGGTTCATAGACCTACATATATATGATCATTTGTGCTGTACATGGCTTTCTTTATCTGTAATCTTTTTTGCTGTACAGGTTTTTCCACATCTATGATCCTTTTCAC